AAACCACTTGAACTCTTTTAACCACTTTTATCTCCTTCATGACCAGGCCATTTTTTTCTATTCGTTGGGCAGCACAGTAGCTAAATGGTTAGCACTTCCCCCTGGCAGTACTAGGGTCAGTGGTTTGAATCCCAACCACAGCATCACCTGGCTGGAGTTTGCATGTTCTCCCTGTGCCTGTGTGGGTTTCCTCCAGATACTCTGGTTTCCTCCCACCCTCCAAAGACATGCTGGTAGGTTAATTGGCTCCTGTCTAAATTGGCCCTAGTATGTGTATGTATGAATGTAAATTAGGGACTTTAGATTGTACGCCCCTTAAGGGTTAGGAACTGATGTGAATGTAAAAGCGCTGCATAAATTGGCAGTGCTATATATGTACCTGAAATAAATAATAATCAGCATTGTGCTACTTTAACTGGCAATTACACGGTCATGCACACTGTACCCAACTGAAATGTATATCATAATAATAATACAGGTAATTTTTTTTTCACACAAATAAAGATTTCTTTTGGTGGTATTTGTTCACTGCTGGGTTTTTAATTTTTTTGCTATATAAATTAAAAAATACAGAAAATTTTGAAAAAGCATGTTTTTCTTAGTTTCTGTTATACAATTTTGCAAAAAATAATCTCTCTTAATAAATTTAGGCCAAAATACAGTTTGCTACATTTCTTTTGTAAAAATAACCCAAATCATTGTGTATTATTTAATCTGTTCAAAAGCTATAAAGACTATGATATATATATAGTTATATATATATTTATTTATTTCAGGTACTTATATAGCACCGTCAGTTTACACAGCACGTTACATATATATTGTACATTCACATCAGTCCCTAACCCTCAAGGGGCGTACAATCTAAGGTCCCTAACTCACATTTATATATATACATACCAGGACCAATTTAGACAGGAGCCAATTAACCTACCAGCATGTCTTTGGAGTGTGGGAGGAAAACAGAGTACCCAGGAAACCCACACAGACACAGGGAGAACATGCAAACTCCAGGCAGGTGGTGCTGTGGTTGGGATACGAACCAACGACCCTAGTGCTGCCAGACGGAAGTGCTAACCATTTAGTCACTGTTCTGCCTATATATGTGTGTATATATATATTTATATATATATACACCCAGCAAAGCATGATCCAATTTGCTCCTGTAGGGGAACAAAAATTCCTACCTGATCCCCTGAGAGGCAATCAAATGTTCCCTGGATGAACTTTACCTATAAATGTTAGTATCCAGTTATATTCTGTGTATCTAGGAAAGAATCCAGGACTTTTTTAAAGCAATCCACTGAACTGGCCAGAACCAACTCTTGAGGGAGTCTATTCCACATTTTCACAGCTCTTACTGTGAAGAAACCTTTCCATATTTGGAAATTAAATCTCTTTTCCTCCAGACGTAAAGAATGCTCCCTTGTCCTCTGCGATGTCCTCAGGGTGAATTGCTCTACACCGAGTTCACTATATGATCCACTGATGTGTTTATACCTGTTGATCATATCCCCCCCTTATGTATTGTACATGGAGCTCATATCCCCCCTTATGTATTATACATGGAGATCATATCCCCCCTTATGTATTATACATGGAGATCATATCCCCCCTTATGTATTATACATGGTGATCATATCCCCCTTATGTATTATACATGGAGATCATATCCCCCCTTATGTATTATACATGGAGATCATATCCCCACTTATGTATTATACATGGAGATCATATCCCCCCCCCCTTATGTATTTATACATGGAGATCATATCCCCCTTATGTATTATACATGGTGATCATATCCCCCCTTATGTATTATACATGGAGATCATATCCCCCCTTATGTATTATACATGGAGATCATATCCCCCCCTTATGTATTATACATGGAGATCATATCCCCCCTTATGTATTATACATGGAGATCATATCCCCCCTTATGTATTATACATGGTGATCATATCCCCCCTTATGTATTATACATGGTGATCATATCCCCCCTTATGTATTATACATGGAGATCATATCCCCCCTTATGTATTATACATGGAGATCATATCCCCCCTTATGTATTATACATGGAGATCATATCCCCCCTTATGTATTATACATGGTGATCATATCCCCCCTTATGTATTATACATGGAGATCATATCCCCCCTTATGTATTATACATGGAGATCATATCCCCCCTTATGTATTATACATGGAGATCATATCCCCTTTTATGTATTATACATGGAGATCATATCCCCCCCCCCCCACTTATGTATTATACATGGAGATCATATCCCTCCTTATGTATTATACATGGAGATCATATCCCCCCTTATGTATTATACATGGAGATCATATCCCCCCTTATGTATTATACATGGAGATCATGTCCCCCCCTTATGTATTATACATGGAGATCATATCCCCCCTTATGTATTATACATGGAGATCATATCCCCCCTTATGTATTATACATGGAGATCATATCCCCCCCTTATGTATTATACATGGTGATCATATCCCCCCTTATGTATTATACATGGAGATCATACCCCCCTTATGTATTATACATGGAGATCATATCCCCCCCTTATGTATTATATATGGAGATCATATCCCCCCTTATGTATTATACATGGTGATCATATCCCCCCTTATGTATTATACATGGTGATCATATCCCCCGTTATGTATTATACATGGAGATCATATCCCCCCTTATGTATTATACATGGAGATCATATCCCCCCCTTATGTATTATACATGGAGATCATATCCCCCCTTATTATTATACATGGTGATCATATCCCCCCTTATGTATTATACATGGAGATCATATCCCCCCTTATGTATTATACATGGAGATCATATCCCCCTTATGTATTATACATGGAGCTCATATCCCCCCCTTATGTATTATACATGGAGATCATATCCCCCCTTATGTATTATACATGGAGATCATATCCCCCTTATGTATTATACATGGAGATCATATCCCCCCTTAATCTCCTCTTCTCAAGAGAGAGAATACATTCAGTTCCTCAAATCTTTCCTCATAGCTGATCTCCTTCATGCCTCTTATCAGTTTGGTTGTACTTCTCTGCACTTTCTCCAGTTCCCCAATGTTCTTTTTGTGAATTGGTGCCAAAACAGTATTAGTGCTGCAGAAGACAGTGAGAGACTGGGGACAGGTTTTATGAGTGTCATGTCAGGGGTCAGGGTCACATACCTGTAGCTATAGCGGTAAAGAAGCTTCCACTGACCAGCCGGATAAGTACACAAGCAGGTCACCGGGGCTGATGACACGGGCTTATCTGAGGTGCAGGGTCTAAGCACTAGCCGGTATTCACCAGAGCTCCTGATGGTGAAGATTGGTTTTGCTGCATGTTAGTACCAGGTCATTGTCCTCAGGATGGCCCCACCAGGAGGTGATCAAGCCAGGGTCCAGTAGCAGATATAGCAGGTAGGGATCAAGCAGAAGTGTAGTCAGTAAAGAAGTCAAAGGTCAGTAACAAGTGGTTGCAGGTTGGGATGAAATAGAAGCATAGGACCAGTATAATCTGATCTATCCTCCTAGATTGTAAGCTCCAAGGAGCAGGGCCCTCCTAACCCTCTTGTATTGAACTGTATTGTTGCTGTATTGTCTCCCATTATATTGTAAAGTGCTGAGCAAACTGTTGGCGCCATATAAATCCTGTATAATAATAACAGTCCAGGAACAAGCCAAACGCCAATAATGAATGGTTGCAGGTTTGGATCAAGCAGAAGCATAGTCAAAGAACAAGCTAAAGGTCGGTCAGAAGCAGTAGTGGAGGTAAGGACATCTGCAGGTACTCAAAGTAGCAAGATATTGGCTGGAAAGCACAATAATCTGGCAAATATGAAGTGCTACTGCTGGATGCAGCAGAGGTTGTGGATTCAGATCCTGGTCCTGACAGTGAGGCTGGTAAAGTTCCTGCTAATATTCCTTTACAAATGATTGTTCCCACTACAGACTGCTGGGGCCCAGAGGATCCACAACCAATACAAAGGCCTGCAGGTTAGGCAACAGGCATCTTTAAAATATGAAGGGATATACTGTAGTTATTTCTCATGATGTTTCATTTCATTTTTTTACAATGCTTTGGAGAATTTACAATTGGAATCTGATTGGATGCTATGGGCAACAGCTCCGCTCTTCTGTGCTCTACTCTTTATGAATCTCTTTTACCAAGGGGTGGTTCGGCTGTAGTAATATCCTAGCAGGTTGCCCTCCAATATGTCGTTTCCAGTGTCCTCTGCTGAAACCCTTTGACAGATGCAAAGCGCTGTTTTCATGGAACTGATGAATAACTTTCATGCTTTCAGAGTCTAACTTTCCATCTGGTGTAAGCACGCAGTCCGTGGAACTGAGAAGATTTATGTTTAACTCTTCTGCTACTTTGATCACATGGACTAGGAGTATTGGGATCACTTACTTATTTTTTGGTGCATTTTTTAAAGAGCGGTCTCATCGAAATAGAAAACACAAATTGACTGCTGTGTGTACATGATACTGTATATCTGCACGTACAAGTAAAAAAACAATACTGCATATATTTCTATAGCTAGGGTCACATGAGAGCTTTGTATATTATGCAATTTAAATACCGTAATTTTCGCTCCATGTTTTTAGAGGAGGAAAACAAGAAAAAAAATATTCCGAACCAATGGACTGCAGACATAGTACAGGAAATGACCAGAGACTGCGGACACAGTACAGGGGATGACTAGAGACTGCAGACATAGTACAGGAGATGACCAGAGACTGCAGACGTACAGAGATGACAGGAGATGACCAGAGACTGCGGACACAGTACAGGAGATGACCAGAGACTGCAGACACAGTAGTACAGGAGATGACCAGAGACTGTGAACACAGTACAGGAGATGACCAGAGACTGCGGACACAGTACAGGAGATGACCAGAGACTGCGGACACAGTACAGGAAATGACCAGAGACTGCGGACACAGTACAGGAGATGACCAGAGACTGCGGACACAGTACAGGAGATGACCAGAGACTGCGGACACAGTACAGGGGATGACCAGAGACTGCAGACGTAGTACAGGAGATGACCAGAGACTGCGGACACAGTACAGGAGATGACCAGAGACTGCAGACGTAGTACAGGAGATGACCAGAGACTGCGGACATAGTACAGGGGATGACCAGAGACTGCGGACACAGTACAGGGGATGACCAGAGACTGCGGACATAGTACATGACCAGAGACTGCGGACACAGTACAGGAGATGACCAGAGACTGCGGACACAGTACAGGGGATGACCAGAGACTGCGGACTGCAGGGGATGACAGACTGCGGACACAGTTACAGGGGATGACCAGAGACTGCAGACATAGTACAGGGGGATGACCAGAGACTGCGGACACAGTACAGGAGATGACCAGAGACTGTGAACACAGTACAGGAGATGACCAGAGACTGCGGACACAGTACAGGAGATGACCAGAGACTGTGGACATGGTACAGGAGAAATGACCAGAGACTGCGGACACAGTACAGGAGATGACCAGAGACGGAACACAGTACAGGAGATGACCAGAGACTGTGAACACAGTACAGGAGATGACCAGAGACTGCGGACACAGTACAGGAGATGACCAGAGACTGACACAGTACAGGAGATGACCAGAGACTGTGGACACAGTACAGGAGATGACCAGAGACTGCGGACACAGTACAGGGATGACCAGAGACTGCGGACACAGTACAGGAGATGACCAGAGACTGCGGACACAGTACAGGAGATGACCAGAGACTGCGGACACAGTACAGGAGATGACCAGAGACTGCGGACACAGTACAGGGGATGACCAGAGACTGCGGGACACAGGGGATGACCAGAGACTGTGGACACAGTACAGGGATGACCAGAGACTGCGGACACAGTACAGGAGATGAACAGAGACTGTGGACACAGTACAGGAGATGACCAGAGACTGCGGACACAGTACAGGGGATGACCAGAGACTGCGGACACAGTACAGGAGATGACCAGAGACTGCAGACACAGTACAGGAGATGACAGAGACTGCGGACACAGTACAGGAGATGACCAGAGACTGCGGACACAGTACAGGGGATGACCAGAGACTGCGGACACAGTACAGGGGAGATGACCAGAGACTGCGGACACAGTACAGGAGATGAACCAGAGACTGCGGACACAGTACAGGAGATGACCAGAGACTGCGGACACAGTACAGATGACCAGAGATGACCAGAGACTGCAGACGTAGTACAGGAGATGACCAGAGACTGCGGACACAGTACAGGAGATGATCAGAGACTGCGGACACAGTACAGGAGATGACCAGCAGACTACAGGAGATGACCAGAGCTGCGGACACAGACAGGAGATGATCAGAGAGAACAGGAGATGACCAGAGACTGCGGACATAGAACAGGAGTGACCAGAGACTGCGGGTACATGATGACCAGAGACTGTGGACACAGTACAGGGGATGACCAGAGACTGCGGACACAGTACAGGAGATGACCAGAGACTGCAGCCATACTACAGGAGATGACCAGAGACTGCGTATATAGTAGAGGAGATGACCAGAGACTGTGGACCTTTGGAGAGGGGGGCGGAGAGGGTACCCGAATTTGACAGGTACCCGCTCCCACTTCCTCCCTCCCCGTCTTCTGGGACACGTAACAGGTCCCAGAAGACTGGTGGACCATTCACAAAGCGCAGCGCTTCTTGCACATGTGCAGTGGGCACCTGGCTGTGAAGCCGCAAGCTGTCACAGCCAGGTGCCCACACTAAAGATGCCTGCGCTGGGAGTTAAGACCGCGAGGACACCGCTGGACTGAGGAACAGGTAAGGTTTTGCTGCAGAGAAGAGCCGAGCGGCCGGCCCGGTATTCTGACACAGCGGCGGCTGGAATACTGGGCCGGCCGTTCCATATTCGCTCCAGAAGATGCAGAGACATTTTCCCATATTTTTTTGGGGGAAAAAAGTGCATCTTATGGAGCGAAAAATATGGTAATAAGTATAGCTAAAAATTTGTGTAGCGCTGCCCCCCTGCAACCGGATCTTCCCTAGGATCAGTGCAGAGGCAGCCAGGCACACAGCAACATTTCACCCTTTCTGGTTCAATAATCAGTCTAGGTTTGGTCTTTTTTGGGTTTTTATTTTTTAAAAACTTTGGAGGAGTTGCGACTTCTTGGTGATGTTAAACGTAGCCAACACAGGCTTGTGGTTGATGTACCGTTTATGTATGGAGCTATGATTTCTAAAAATGTAAGGTCATTGGTCAGTGATCTGTAAGTGGTTTTATTGGTGAATGCAGTCCTGCTGTATCATAAAAACATGTTCGGAGGCTCTTAGAGTCAACATGGTACATTGTACCTGAGCAGCGTCGCCTGTTGTCTATCTTCTGGTAAAAGAACTGCTCATATTACATGGGAAGCCCACCGATGGAGTGGAGGAGGACCCCAAACAGTGAGATACCATCCCATCCATACTTTGGCCCATTTAAAGGGACACAAGCGTTATATGACTTTAATTAGAGGTTTGGTCACATACTTGAGGTGAGAGCACAACCGGTTGTGGAGCACACAAATGAACGTTTTTTTTCACACAAAAAATCAATTAAGAGGCTGGGGATATTTTGTTCTACAGTGAACTTTGCATGTTTGAAGAAGTTTATATATGGACCTCTTTTTTTGACTGTTTTTGACAATTATAGTATGTGTATGTATGAATGTGAGTTAGTGACCTTAAATTGTACACCCCTTGAGAGTCAGGGACTGATGTGAATGTACAATATGGATGTAAAGCGCTGCGTAACTTGACGGCGCTATATAAGTACCTGAAATAAATAAATAAATTTATATGGACACTGTTTTGGGGAAATTGATATTGATTGATTCACCTATTTCATTTTCATAACACTTTGATATAAATAGTAGCAATTTGTATGCATATATCATATATTTTGAGCCTTTATAAGTGAAGCGTGGCACATTTTGGTAAATAGTATTGGTTTGGCGCACTAGTAGGAGTATGTGTTTTGTGCAGGCGATTCACAATCAGCACTCAGTAGTAATCATCACTCACATAGCAGCTCACAGGCTTCTATTTTTCAACATTTCTCCCTTTCTTGCTCAATAATCAGTCTAGGTTTGGTCTTTTTTGGGTTTCTATTTTTGAAAAACTTTGGAGGAGTGGTATGGGATACTCCCAACTTTCCTACTTGTTTGTATGAGGACACCTCACTTTGCTCAGTCTCTGTGGACGGTCTGTGCGCTCAGTTGCAGAAAGTGTTACTAAAGGTGGGAATACACGATTAGGAAATCGACCGATTGGTCATTCAACGACCGAGAGGCTTTCATTCGTTGGTCGAAATTGTGGCCCACATTAAACAATCTAAAAAAATCATTCATTGGGCAATACATCTTTCATGCAGGGGCGGACTGACCACTTGGAAACTCGGGCACTGCCCGAGGGCCCGGGGTCAGTAGGGGGCCCCATGAGATGCCCCTGGTACCTTTTTCATAGGCTTTTTTGAGTTTGGGCAAGGACACATGGGCCCCATGATCCCCTATTGCCCGGGGGCCCCATGAGTTGTCTGTCCGCCCCTGCTTCCGTACAAGTGGAAGTGATGCGGTGTGCGTGTGACCTTGTAGCCACTCCCTTCCGGCCAGAACGATCGATATACACAACAATGACCAGCAATGAGTATAATATCGTTTATTACATGACCTATATACATAAATAGTGATACATAAAATATAATCTGCAGAATTCTGGTTTCATTATCTCATGTAACATTTTTCATTATCTATTTTTAACATTTGGATTCTTCGTGTTTACAAAGATTCCTTGGACATAAACAACCGGGTCATCTTCTGTTTCCATATGAAATAGGTAGTGAGCGCTCTAATAGATGTCAGCAGCTAGAACACATTAGGCAACCATAATGCCTTAAATATAAACAATCAAACTTAAATAATGAAGTGCAGCGCTAAGAAGGATAAAAAGTCAATAAAGTGATAATCTGGTATCACAATGGTGAACTGTAGAGATACGGATTCCAGCGGCTTCCACTTTGTCAGAGTAACAGAAATGCGCACTCACCGGAAACGCATGGGTTTATGCGCATGTGTGATTATGCATCACGGGCAATGGGAACATCAGAATCCAGGCAGCCAGGCGTCTCCCTCACGGTGGGTCATCACAGACTCCTGTTACAGGTCCGGGGGATCCCCTTAAGGTAAGCCAGGTGCTTCAGGAGAAACCTCCTCTCAGGATGGCAAAAGTGCTTTCTCTATGGGAGTGAAAGCTCCAGACAGGAGCCCCAGAAAACAAATGCCCAAAATAGTGTAGTATGTTCAAAATCTCAGGTTTATTGATAAAAACAGCAGCAGGGCAGTATGCATATGGTACATCATGAAAATGTGAAATGCATATGATAAACAATGCAGTACTGACCCCAGTGGTGAAAAACGCCGGGCCTCCTCGTGGCTCCAGGCGGGTATATGACGTCACGCTCTGTACAGTTCCTCCTTAGGCCTTTCGTGCTAAAGGCACATCATCAGAGGGGAGACTTCTGTTTCCGCTCATGTGTGATAGCGCTTGATAGATCTTTTTCGTACGACCGTCATTTCACCGCATAGAAAATCAGTCGTTCGTAAGCGAAACAACAACATTTTTCACTGTTGTTCAACTGGATTTTTTTGTTCACAATATCTTTATCGGTTAAAACATCCTGCTCATCAACGAAGAGAAAATCGCTCCATCAGTGGTTCCACAAAATTTTTCAAACTATTTTCTTACCGTGTGTATGGGGCATTAGTCCTTTCTTGTATTAGCATTCAAATTAAATGGAAAATATCGGTACCCGGATTGCGAAGATGCATCCGTCTGCCTCTGCGCTGTGTTTCCGGTGTTGTGGCCAGGTTGGGTCTATGATTCACATCTGGTGGCAATGCACGCTTGTAACTAGATTTTGGATTCGAATGTTCGATTTGGTAAATTCAGTGTCGGGTATAAATATTCGCAGATGGCGCTCTTTCACAAATTTCCAGATAATGTTCCCAAGAAATCTCATAAATTGATTTCCTATATGTTTCTGGCAGCGAGAATCACTATAGCTAGACACTGGAGGCAATCGGTCATTCCACTTAAAAAGAAACTTAATTGGATGATGATTAACGACAAACTCATCTGTGTCCTACACAATAACTCAAAGAAATTCGATCACACATGGAACCCATGGATCCAGTACCTTTCTGTGCCTTAACTACTTCCCACCCAGCTGTCATGTGACTCGTCCCTCCAGGAGGGTGTCATATGATGTCCCCTCCCAGATTGCGCTTTGCACGTGCCCGCAGGACCGCGCTGTGGCAAGATCTGTCACCGGCCGTGTACCTCGACACGGCCGATGACAGATCTGTGTACCAGCCCCGTTGCCAGTACCATGTGACCTGCTGTGACCAATCAAATTAGGTCGCATGACAGTTATATACAATGGATGGCTTCCTTTCATGCCATCCATTGTATACAAGTGTGTCTAGCTGTGAATGGTCACAGTGATCACATGCACAGACTGTGCCAGTCACAGCCCATCTGTGTCATGTGATTAGCCGTGGCCAATCACAACTAATCACAACACAAAAAGCTGAATGAATCTATTTAATTCCGTTAAATTCTTGCTTATAGCAAAGAAATTTGTTGCTATAAGCAATCAAATTGTGTTAAAAAAAAAAAATACTGATCACTTCCCCAAAGTAGTACAAATGTTACTATGGTAACATTTTACTACT